AATTATGCAAATTAGCTAATTAATATATACTGATATTATCCTAAAAACTATCACGTCTGTGCAGTGTCCTATGACATCTATGTACCAAATTTCATTGAAATGTGATGATTACTACTTGAAATATCAAAAGCTGAAAATTATTTAATTATGCAAATTAGGTAATTAAAATCCAATTAAAACTAATCAGGTCTCTGCATAATCCTAGAAGATCTATGTAGCAAGTCTCATTGAAATATGATGATTACTACTTGATATATCAAAAGCTGAAAATTAATTAATTATGCAAATTAGCTAATTAATATATACTGATATTACCCTAAAAACTATCAGGTTTGTGCAGTGTCCTATGACATCTATGTACCAAATTTCATTGAAATGTGATGATTTCTACTTGAAATATCAAAAGCTGAAAATTAATTAATTATGCAAATTAGCTAATTAATATATACTGATATTATCCTAAAAACTATCAGGTTTGTGCAGTGTCCTATGACATCTATGTACCAAGTTTTATTGAAATGTGATGATTAGTACTTGAGATATCAGTGGAAAAGCCGAAAATTGATTAATCATTATGCAAATTAGGTAATTAATATTGCACAGATTTTTACCCAAAACTAATCAAATCTGTGCATTAGTTTGGTGCCAAGTTTCATCAAAATCCAATGAGTGGTTCTTTAGATATCAGTGGAAAAGTCATTGAACAGCTAAAATCAGCTAATTATCATGCAAATTAGGTAATTAATATGCATGGATTTTTACCAAAACCTAATCAAATCTGCGCATTGGCCCAGAGCATCTATGCACCAAGTTTCATCAAAAACTGATGTATGGTTCTTGAACAGACGGACACACTAACACACACATACATACAGACACACTAACTGCAAAGACTCCCTTTTTGTGCTTCGCACACGGGAGTCAATTAAGCCAATTTAACAATCCACGTTGCACTGCAGCGTCTCCAAGTTTGTGACAGCGCCCTCTAAGGGCAGTTTTTTCAACAATGATAATTCAAAAACACTAAAAATTATTAAACAACTTATGAGGTGAAATAAATGGCACAACACTTTAATTTAAGTAAAATTGATAATATAAATTAAGTCTTGTATGTTTCTCAGTTATGGTAGCCAAGGTTCTCTAATATATGTGTGTGGACTTCGTGATGTCTGAATTAAGAGAGTGGGTTGGAGAGTTTCGGAAGACAATATCCTTGGGTAAAGTTTAAAAAAAAAAGACAATTCAACAATTACTGCTTAAGGTAAAGAATTTGGTTGATGATGATGGGGAAGGTGGTACATGTATTTTGGGACTGGGTGTCAAAAGAAATTGTAGTACTTGTACAAATAAAATATAAGTGAAAATTCAAATTTTCCAGACTTCAATAGAAACTTTCTGTAGCAGAAACCTATTATAACTACGACTTGAATCAGTGGAAATACAAGATATCTGACAACTGTGTAGTTTTACGAGCTACTCTGAAATACTTTATTTTAGCTGGAATTAATTTTCACTGAAAAGACTTTTTTATTTTCACTGAATTATTCCTTCAGCGAAAATTAATTCCAAGTAAAAATAAAGTATTTTACAGTATCGAGAACTAGGCATGAGGAAATTACATTGAAGCCATCTGAGTCAATTGCAAAGAAGTCTTTAACAGTATCACTTAAAACTTAGCAAGTACCACATTTGCTGCATTAGTAACGCATGTACTAATATAGATAACAGAGGTATGTCTGTTGTCAAACTAAGTAAATTTTTCAATAATTAAGTAATGTACAATTAATGCAATTATGGGTTCATATGCACTTTTATTGAAGATATGTTTTTAATAGAGCAAATATGGTAACAAAATTATTGTACAAGATACAAACTAATTGCAGGTATTTCAACTGCACTTAAGGTAGCGAGACTATTATTTGTGTTGAAAATTACGATTTTCACATTTATTTATTAATTGATGAAATGCACTATAAACTTTCATATGATAAAGTCAACATAACATAGAATGTCATGTAAGTTGGTTAAAATGTAGATTTTCTGAAGGAAAGCAAGGCAGCCTCAGTAGTGTTTTCTAAAATCAACAACACAGGTTTAATCTGTGTGCCTATAAGTTTCAAAGATAAACTCAAGACAAAGCAATGTTAGGATGTGTTATCAGTAGCTATCTGACACACAATGAGTGTTTCCAAACATTTGAGTGGTTTGTCTCCGCCCCGTTTGTTTCACAGATTAGTCATTTGCATATGAATGTGTCAGACACAAGGTCACACAGCCACTGAAAAAAATCATTGATTTTGGTGTTTTCATATGCCGAATTATCCAAATATAGCTATCCCATTCCTTTATTTTTTTT